TATCCCGACTTCAAGAATGGTAACACCCTTGACGTCATTCTTGTTGATTTTGATGACGCACAGGCCAATGGCTTGAAAGAGGCACTGGGGCAAGAAAAAGCAGAGAAGGTTTTGAGAGGATGTCAAGTGCATTGGACGCGTTCTTTGCAAAGAGTAGCGAAGCTGGTAACAAAGTCAAAAGAGCAGCAACGAGTTTTCCTTTATCTTGGAAATAGAATTCCTAATGAAACAGATAAAAACGACGTGAAGATACTTTTTAAGCTCCTGTCAGGTCAATTAAATCTCTCAGAAGGCAGCAATTTTTTAACAGAAGGTATGAATGACATAGTCCAAACATTCGACACACAGGGGTGGAAAAGATTGAAGAGTTGGTCCGAATGGTGGTGTCGACCAAATCATCTTGCAATGTTTACCAAATCCCATACCTTGTTAAATGAAAGTGAATGGGACACTGCGCCAAGGACAACCAATGCTGTGGAGTCCATCAACCGACAGTCAATCCATGACAAAGGGTGTGTATTGTTTGCACTTCTAGAAAACATTTACACGGAAGACAGAGGTCACGCTGCCAAGATTGTTGCCATGGAAAACAATGTCACACTTTCGTATGCAAGTAGTGAAGAGAGTAGGAGGAAAAAGAAGAACGATAAACGAAAAAGAAAGCGTTCGAGTCTGACGAATGGTAGCAAAGATAACGATGTTCCTCCAGATAAGAGAAGAAACATCGAAAAAGATACGAGAGCAACCCCTAAAAAAAGAGGTAGATCCCTCATCGGAACTAAAGTTTCAGTTGAATATCAGGAAATGAATGGAGGGGTAATGAAATACATGGGTTGGTTTGATGGAACCATTGCAGCATTTAACCGTCGAGATGGCTATTTCATAGAATTCCAAGACAGCGAAAAAGATGGCAAAGTAATAAAAGGCTGGACAGAGTGGTTGGGAGATATTGAAAGTAATGATGTAAAGCTCTTATCATGAACCAAGTATATGTAACAATTTAATATACAGTTACAGAAGCGTATCTAAAATCTACAAGTGAAATTATTATTTATTGTCCAAGACACTTGTGCTCATCAACAAAGCCACACCTATCCTCTACTCTAMAAGAGAACGAATCTACTTCACCAAGTAAACCTTATTTATTATTATTTATTGTCCAAGACACCCCTCTTCATCAACCAAGCCACGCCTATCTTCTACTCTACAAGAGAACGAATCTACTTCACCAAGTGAACCTTATTTATTATTATTTATTGTCCAAAACACTTGTGGTCATCAAACAAGCCACGCCTATCCTCTACTCTACAAGAGAACGAATCTACTTTACCAAGTGAACCTTATTTATTATTATTTATTGTCCAAGACACTCGTGTTCACCAAATCAAGAGCTTAAAATATGCTAAGCCCAACTATTATGTATCGACATGCCTCTGCCTTTTATTTAATTCTATCGGTAAATACTCATTTATATTTGCTTCATCTACATATGGTATGGTCCTATACGTTTACTGGCTCTGGTCATTGGTCTCTTTAGAAGTGCCGATTTTGCCTTTGGAAATGTAGATGTACGTTTTGGAGCTTTATATATTTTATTAGTTTTGTTTGTATATAGCATYGTAATATTGTAGCAATCTAGTTGATAATTGATCCTTTAAATCCTAAATTTAACTTGACTGATTCCATGCACAAGTCGTAGTTTTCGGTCCTTTGTGGGTTGTGCCCTTTTTAGCGATAACCAATGTTTTGCGAAGGTTTTGTGATCACAATTCTGAAATGTATTTTGTTAAATGTCTGAAGCTGAAAAATGCTTATTGTAATACTATACAGTGTTTCTTTCTGTCTTGGTATGCAGACAAAATATTATGAAATAGCTTTATACAGGGGAGTATGAAATATACTATTTGGCAATATTGTAGCTAGTAAACTCTTGAAAGAGCAGCGGCTAAATTCTGCTAAGAAAAAGTTCAGATAATATACCGATGGGGGAAATGAAGTGATTTATCCTCAAAAACCTGATTTTTCTAAAGACCCCCCTTTAGAACTTAACTTAATTCTGAAAGCCCCCTCAAAACACCATTGTCAATTTTGTTAGAGCTTCCTCTTTCATATCCCAAAACATTTCAGTACCTCCCCCCTCCACCCGGCATATGAAATGAACTTTATCTAAAAAGCTCTTCTTGTTAGGCAATGACAAGGATTTGTAATAAGCGAGCACTTCTATTGAATGTCAGTATAAATGTTCTAGCTCTAGATTTWAAAAAACCTCACCCCAGGCTGCTCTCTTCGCTGTTCAGCATTACGTTCATCACGATCGTCACACATCAGCCTCTGCCACGCCAAATGCTTGAATAATGCTTGGTTTATGTATGGCGTGAAAAATGACGTGCTGTACGAAAGTAGACTTTGTACCCMCCTCAAMAAAATCCCTAGATGCTGCGCCCTTAATTCTATATGGTCAATCTGTATGGATTGAAAGGTTGATTTTTCGACGAATATAATTAAAGCGAAAAAAATAAGTTAATGTAAATAATTAAATTAACTCATCTATTAGTCTATTTTTGCTTTGCTTCACGCGTTAGAAGTGTCTTTCATATTTAAGAGAGCGAGCTGAAAAAGAGTAGCCTGGGACGAGCCTAAATAAAATAAATAAACCGTTTTCAATAATTTATGATTTATTGATGAAAGCTTTATATATACGTCATTGACAAACCTATGAACTTTTTTATGATTAATGAT